ACCGCATTGAAAAACAGATCGACATGCTTTCTCAACAATGTCATTATCAAATCAATATATAACTTAGATAAACAATGTAGGTAATTATATAAACAATGTAGGTAATTGTATAAACAATGTAGGTAATTATATAAACAACATAGGTAACTCTACGAAGACGATATACATTTGCAGTAACGTGAAACCATCATGTCTATCACCTGCGATGCCATCTTGTGTAATCTCGCTATCAGCTCCTTAGTTTTCTTCTACAAGCTCGTTCCCCATTCCCTTAACACTTATAATAAATATCCAGTCTTATTTCTTCCTCATGGATTCAATATTCTAGAGAGAGGGTCAGTTTACATCGCCGACAATAGTTCGGGAGTACTACAGTAATCTAGCAACAGGAACTTGTCCCACAAGTTTATTTTGTTCAGTGTTGGCAGACAAAAGGAAAGTTGACAAACTGGAATTCAAGTCTACAATAGTTACAGGTGTTTGGGATTTAAATGACAGGTTTTTATAACTTTAGTGAAAGTATCTGATAATTACGTAAATCTAACACCAGAACAACCAATACCAAAGATCAGATAAATCATGCAGCGTGACCACGGCAGAACTACCCTTAGTTGACCCCAGTCAACCGTTGGTTGATACACGTGGTGCTGACCTTATATTGGTTGGACGGATTACATTTGTATGATTACCCAAGACTGGTCACTCAATGACCGGAGGGTGTGTACTGATATAGCTACTTATCTGGTGTGGATTAGCTGACAATGTCCGGCAGTACTTATAACCTGACATTTCTAGCCTCCCAGGAAGGACAGCACTATGTGACTCAACAGTTAAAACCATCAAAATACAGACCTTGGTATTGCTGTTTGAAATAAATTGACACTTTAACTAAAAAGGTTTCGACTTTTGACATACATGAAACATTCAGAGAATGCACTCCACTATATACAGCTGGTTTACCACAAGACCAGGCCTGGTGGAGGAGACAAATATTGCCCAACAGATCTATAGACTATGTTCTACAATGCAAAAGTTCCGCACATTCCTTATGATAATTGTACGGGCTAAACAGTGAGTCTTTCTTTTGAAAGGCAACACACAGAGTTTATTTTAGCTCAGTCGTTCTCGATTTTTACGAACCACTGTATGATTAGATATCGACTTTCTCGCTACCACTATCATTGCTCCCTGCAGGTGATCTAGCTACCTGAAGCCGAAACAAAATTCGCCAAGGTTTCGAGATAACAGAAGAAACATTTAAGTCTACAATTCCTAGAGTATTAGATTTCTGTCTCTATTTTTTTTATCTCGAATTCCATACACCAGAGTGTACATTCATTTTCAATTCTTCCGTGACACGATAGTAACGGACAGCAAAATAAGTACCCGGATTCACTTGCAATGCAGCATGTCTCGTCAACCACGTCAGTTTGAATTGAATTCCAGGTGCAGAAAACTTGACGTTATAACCAGCCTTTTTTCAAATGAAATGTTCCGCCTGAAGATAGAAGCAAAGGTATCTCTCGTTTATCAAAGTATAAACTTTTGTATTGATATACAGCTTCTCTAAGTTTATTTTGGTATCCAAAGTAGATACGGTTTCCGTACACCGATTAGCAACATAAAATCTGTCCTGATCCATCAGGCCCACTTTTACAGCAGTCATTCATCAACTGGTCCACCTTCTGTATATTGTGAATATCACCTGGCCACCGTCTGTATATTGTGAATATCACCTGACCCACCTTCTGTATATTGTGAATATCACCTGGCCACCTTCTGTATGTTGTGAATATCACCCGGCCACCTTCTGTATATTGTGAATGTCACCTGGCCACCTTCTGTATGTTGTGAATATCACCCGGCCACCTTCTGTATATTGTGAATTTCACCTGACCCATCTTCTGTATATTGTAAATTTCACCTGGCCCACCTTCTGTATATTGTGAATGTCACCTGACCCACCTTCTGCATATTGTGAATGTCACCTGACCCACCTTCTGCATATTGTGAATTTCACCTGGCCACCTTCTGTATGTTGTGAATATCACCTGACCCATCTTCTGTATATTGTAAATTTCATCTGGCCCACCTTCTGTATATTGTGAATGTCACCTGACCCACCTTCTGCATATTGTGAATGTCACCTGACCCACCTTCTGCATATTGTGAATATCACCTGGCCACCTTCTGTATATTGTGAATTTCACCTGGCCACCTTCTGTATGTTGTGAATATCACCTGACCCATCTTCTGTATATTGTAAATATCACCTGACCCACCTTCTGCATATTGTGAATATCACCTGGCCACCTTCTGTATGTTGTGAATATCACCTGACCCATCTTCTGTATATTGTAAATATCACCCGGCCACCGTCTGTATATTGTGAATGTCACCTGACCCACCTTCTGCATATTGTGAATGTCACCTGACCCACCTTCTGCATATTGTGAATATCACCTGGCCACCTTCTGTATATTGTGAATTTCACCTGGCCACCTTCTGTATGTTGTGAATATCACCTGACCCATCTTCTGTATATTGTAAATATCACCTGACCCACCTTCTGCATATTGTGAATATCACCTGGCCACCTTCTGTATGTTGTGAATATCACCTGACCCATCTTCTGTATATTGTAAATATCACCTGGCCACCTTCTGTATGTTGTGAATATCACCTGGCCACCTTCTGTATGTTGCGAATATCACCTGACCCATCTTCTGTATATTGTAAATATCACCTGGCCACCGTCTGTATATTGTGAATGTCACGTGACCCACCTTCTGCATATTGTGAATGTCACCTGACCCATCTTCTGTATGTTGTGAATTTCACCTGACCCACCTTCTGTATGTTGTGAATTTCACCTGACCCATCTTCTGTATATTGTGAATTTCACTGACACGATATGACACAAACTCATGAAAAGTAGTGTTTAACTGACACGATATGGCACAAATTGATGAAAAATAGTGTAAACTGACACGATATGGCACCAATTGATGAAAAAGTAGTGTAAACTGACACGATATGGCTAAAACTAATGAAAAAATAGCGCACACTGACACGATATGACAGAATCTGATGATAAAATAGTGCACACTGACACGATATGGCAGAAACACATGAAAAAGTAGTGCACCCTGACACGATATGGCAGAAACTGATGATAAAATAGTGCACACTGACCACTGTATGGCACAAACCGATGATAAAGGACATAATGACTGATGTCCGATTTAATCCAGAAAGAGTCACATTCTCTCGCGATTTTTTGTGTAATTGAAAACTGTGATCAGAAGGAGAGGGGTAGGGGTGGGTGTTGGGGGTCGACAATACTGCCCTGACATTTTGATAACAAATACTGCCACAACCAGTAGCCGTGCATAAGGTGTCAAACCAGTAATGGAATGGAGGTTCGTTTTGTTGGTGCCGGAGACGTCTTGGCAGGGGAAGATATCAGATGTAGGAAAGGTTATTGTGTGATTTACTCGTCTGTGTTATTGTCCTAACGGGCATCAATCATGTCTAACGACTCCGGAATTACTTGTACTGTCCCAATATCCTGTATCTTGTGAAAATGTGTTGAGCACGCTAGTATCAAGACTGATAACGATGTCGGCAAAAGTCGGACCAAGTCGGAATGCGTTGTTAGGTGTCTGCTGTAAGAACAGTTACGGATAATTATTCTGTCATTGAGGCGGAATGTAGTTAGAGACCTAAGTGTCCGATGTACAACGAATGACATTAATAACTATATACTGTACCTTACGTCAGAAGGGTTCCGAACTACACAACCAAAACGAGATTTAGCTTTAAGATAACAATTAAAAAAAAGTATACAAGCTGTAACATCGACGAATTTAATAGTGTCTCGAAAATGGCCGATCATCAAGAGGCAACAGACCCGATTTATTTCGTACAAAACATGTCGGATTCCTTCGTTTCACCTTAACAGTCAAATGACTTTCACACTTTATACGCTGTGTAACATTGTTTGGGGGGGGGATGTTAACTTATTTACGGCACCATCTGCAGAAATTTTCTAAGGACGAATTTTGGCTAATAAGGTGTCTGATGTAGGGTACCATACCAATCTCTACCAGAGTTGTCGTTCCTTAGTCACAATACATGTAATATAGGGTACCATACCAATCTCTACCAGAGTTGTCGTTCCTTACAGTCACAATACATGTAATGTAGTGTACCATATCAATCTCTACCAGAGTTGTCGTTCCTTACAGTCATAATACACATGTCATATATTGTTCCGCAATGCACTCTGGGTGAAATTGAAAACTGACCAGAAATGTGGCAGATCACACTGGAGTTGACCTACATGACGTCATCTTAAAGATTAAAACATTGAGATGTTTTCAGTAACTTCCGGTTGGCTTTCACAGACTCTAAAGCAGTTTAAATGTATATATTGCCATTATGGACTTTTTCAATCCTTAGAATATTGAATGGTTCATCCATATTTGCATTAATGAATATGCCAAAATGTTAGCCCTACTACTTCAGACACATATCACACGGGTAAGTGAACGAGGTTGTTGTCTTGTAGTTCCCTAAATACCCACTTCAAGGATTAGACTTCCAAGTTCAAAATAGGGAAGTGAGTGGAAACAGCTAAGAAACATTAAATTTACAATGTGTTATTGCCTTTTCATGACTGTAGGTTGTATCCGACATTGACCAGGTGTTTAAATCCCCCTGTATATCTGAATGTGTATGTCATCCATTGATGGACCGCGAGTCGCCCGCCAACTCTTGGTGAACTGTTCACCGACCTGACCACCCCTATCACTTAGCTGAAGATATATATACTCTATTTACAGGTCACGAAAACGATAATAGTTACTATCTGTACTTATCATTAGCTAGACTTGCTCTGCTCCATTAGTTTTTGATACGTTGTCGGTGTAATGATAAAAATTATCGCTTTGAGTGACAGGAAGATCAACAACCAAACACGAACAAATACACAATAATGATTCTTTATCAGACTAAAATTTATTATAATGCATCGTATTTAAAGGGTCCATATTAAATATAAATATAATCAAATATTTGCTCTTTTTAAATATTACAAACATTAAAATATGTAGACCATTGCGTCACTTTCGCCTCAAAATCGGCGTATTTATACCTAACTACCAGGAGGAAAAGACGATTTTATGGAAATCATCTTGATAATGACGTAAGGATGTCAGCCATGGCAGATGAGAGCGGGAAATTCAAGCCTACTTAGACAAAAGTTGTACAAGGAAGCATTCCACCGTACAACACAGACGACAGTTAGTAATATACAAGTCTTACCGACTGCTGTGTCCATCTAAAACCACACATCCAAGTTACCAAGCTGCGGAATAACAAACAGTACCACAACTGTTCTTAACTTCCAAATCTTAATTCCAGAATAAAGAAAGCATTTTCTTAAAACTGACCATCACTTTCACTTTGTTATGAAACCTGGGCATCTATATTCCATTCCGTATGACGTCATTTAACACCACTAATACGTATTCGAAATGATGCATAGCAATATTCCTCCGGTTCACTTGGGTATTTCAGTTCCATTACAAATATATTTTCGTGATTAAGATTGTCACAATGTTGACGTAATTCCAAAAGCACAAATGCAGTTCTTATAGCACATAATATATTGACATCTCTCGTAAAATACAAGAGTATCCTCTCCGCCCAGATTAATCGTTGTGGAAAGAACACTTGCTTGTTTTGAATACTACGTCTGAAAAGCATCGCTGTGACATTGATCTTCGCCTTGTTTTTGATTCGCAAGCAGCCACTGTAACGTGCAGCCACATCTCAGCATATGCTCACACAAAGCACCGTTTCATTGGCAACATTGAAGATTTCATTTCTGTTCCCTCTGCACGGTTACACTGTAGTCTCTGAAAATAACAAGACAGGTCATGTTATAGAGAAATGCAATGTTGTGAGAATGACATATTAATATTCATGGACTAAATACAGGTAACAATAATTACAATTATCAATTTCACCTGTCTGAACACCATGATAACAGCTATAAACTGAACCTCTATATTCTAATCAATCTCTTTACCAACCCTGAGCCATATACCACTAATTCATCAGAACAAGCTCTGTACCAAACCCGACCCCTATATATGTTATGTTACTCTGACCCATATAACAACGACCATCATTGTATCTGTAACAATCATTCCTCAAAATAAGTTTTCAACCAATCATCATCTCCTGTACTCTATACCAAACACAGTTTATAGACCGGGCTAGTCTGTTAGAAAACACACCTGCCAAGTACCTGAATGGCTGCGGTACAGAACCTTTAACAAACATAACGCAAAATACTGTGACGTCTCAACACAAAATAATAAACAGACCAGCTTCAGCTAACAATCTACGTTTATTTTCACCAGGGAATTTTCTGTCGTTACTTTGATAAAGAAATCTCCTGTCGTTACTTTGACCAGGGAATCACCTGTCGTTACTTTGACCAGGGAATCTCCTGTCGTTAATTTGACCAAGGGAATCTCCTGTCGTTACTTTGACCAAGGGAATCTCCTTTCGTTACTTTGATAAAAGAAATCTCCTGTCGTTACTTTGACCAGGGAATTCACTGTCATGACTTTGACCAGGGAATCTCCTGTAGTTACTTTGATAAGGGAATCACCTGTCGTTACTTTGACCAAGGAATCTGTCATGACTTTGACCAGGGAATTCACTGTCATGACTTTGACCAGGGAATATCCTGTCGTCACTTCGACCAGGGAGTTTCCTGTCGTGACTTTGACCAAAGAAATTCACTGACATGACTTTGACAAGGGAATCTGTCGTGACTTTGACCAGGGAATCACCTGTCGTTACTTTGATCAGGGAATTCACTGTCATGACTTTGACCAGGGAATCTGTCGTGTCTTGAACAAGGAGGCTGAAGTGACTTTGACCAGGGAATCTCCTGTGGTGACTTTGACCAGGGAATCCCTTGTTGTGACAGCAATGTGAGATGAAGTGGAGTATTTTATGAGCAGTGAAAAAAGGAGATTAGTATTACCAAATTGGATCACTGTAGATGAGACGGCTATCGCCGTGTAAACATCTGACATGGAAAAAACTTTTACATCTGACACTGTCATTTAAAACGTGATTCAGCGTTGGGGTTAACCCAGTTTGTGTTTGTTCGCAAACATTAACATTCCATGCTACGGATGGTTGGACATGTATAGCCACAAACCCAACTATTTCCGTCTACTTCAAGGGCGATTATTTCTCAAACACAAAAAAACAACGCCACCATAGGAAGTACAATAGTCTGAATACAACTTGTCCATACGTAACTCGCACATAGTATGTCCACCCAAGACAATCTTAAGAAGAAAATCTACTTGATTATTCACGTCATTAACTATTTAATAAATACAAATCTACACGAGAGAATGCTTTGTGTATGTAACATTGGTGACAATTAGATAGAATGCACACGAAAATGTTATGTTTTATATGTCATAATCTCGTTCACACGGACGCTTGAGCGTTAAGGTGTAGTGTGAAGACAACAAAGCGTCAGAGTGAATACGACTAAAAGAAATTTATAAAGCCTGGCCACTGATATTTTATTTTAGGTTCAAAATAGCTTTACCGAAGTTTTAATGAGTTTTATTCATCAAGTAAGGATATAAAACCCTGGTCCTAGACAGAATTTTAAGAACGTACCTTTTAAAAATTCGATGTTCATTTTAAAGGCCTCGTACTGTATCGAACGGAAAGTAATTAGTCATACTTACAATATTTAAGGGTGACATCTTTCATTCACCGGATGTCACATATGTGGCTTCGATATATGCGCATTGTTCGCTAATCAATGAAACAACATAACATACCAATAACATTTGCCTTTGTTATGTCTACCGCCGTCGCAAATGTTAGCAGCTAGAAGACAGTTTCTAGGAAACGGTTTTAGCCCTGGGAACACTAAATTGTATGTGACCTTTCCTGTGCCTAGTAAGAAATATCGACCAACATTTATCACCGTTAGCTCATGGAATGGTACACGTTGCTAAATGTCGTTCGAATGTGGAGGCACTAAAGTTAGATTTCATTGTTCTGTTTCCATTTCTGTTGAAGTCAGTAATTGAGAGTCTGTGTTTTATTTCCAAAATATTTACTCAAAATAAATTCCTGTCGATTACTGCAAAAAAATAAGAAATACACGACCAACGCTCTTTGTTCATCTCAGTGTCTAATTATTTCCAGTATGTAATTGACTATATGATAACAATAGTGGTTACTAAACAGATCAATGTGATAATAACTCTACTTCCTGAACTATTGGAATATTTCCCGTTACAAGCACAATAAGACAAGATACTGCCTGTAATATTAATAGTAACCACACAATTCAGTGAGCAGTCTGTCAACAGCTCGTGTACTGCTATACTGATGGCATCGGTCAGATATCAGAAATAAAAATGATGTTACTAACACAGAAACATGTCTGTGATCCTTAGAAGTGTACATACAGATAGAAAAGTCGACGTTGCTTTCCAGCCAATCGATACTGTTCTATATGGAAAACCCTATTCATCAGGGAGATAATCGGCAGTAATACCCTCGAGAGACGTGAAGCTACCGTCTTCACAGACCAGACCAAATATAATCAGGTTCACATCGGCCCTCATATCAAAACCAAACAAAATCTACAAAGCAGTGGTGGTCACCATAACCTGTAACGTTCGTCCACATATCGACAGAATTGTCAGTGTCGAAAAGTGTCTTAAAATATGATGTCAGACAGTGTTTATAAACATCTATACATGTATGATGTCAGACAGTGTTTATAAACATCTATACATGTATGATGTCAGACAGTGTTTATAAACATCTATACATGTATGATGTCAGACAGTGTTTATAAACATCCATACATGTGTGATGTCAGACAGTGTTTATAAACATCTATACATGTATGATGTCAGACAGTGTTTATAAACATCTATACATGTATGATGTCAGACAGTGTTTATAAATATCTATACATGTATGATGTCAGACAGTGTTTATAAACATCCATACATGTATGATGTCAGACAGTGTTTATAAACATCTATGCATGTATGATGTCAGATAGTGTTGATAAACATCTATACATGTATGATGTCAGACAGTGTTTATAAACATCTATACATGTATGATGTCAGACAGTGTTTATATCTATACATGTATGATGTCAGACAGTGTTTATAAACATCTATACATGTATGATGTCAGACAGTGTTTATAAACATCCATACATGTATGATGTCAGACAGTGTTTATAAACATTTATACATGTATGATGTCAGACAGTGTTTATATCTATACATGTATGATGTCAGACAATGTTTATAAATATTTATAAATGTATGATGTCAGACAGTGTTTATAAACATCCATAGATGTATGATGTCAGACAGTGTTTATAAACATCTATACATGTATGATGTCAGACAGTGTTTATATCTATACATGTATGATGTCAGACAATGTTTATAAATATTTATAAATGTATGATGTCAGACAGTGTTTATATCTATACATGTATGATGTCAGACAATGTTTATAAATATTTATAAATGTATGATGTCAGACAGTGTTTATATCTATACATGTATGATGTCAGACAATGTTTATAAATATTTATAAATGTATGATGTCAGACAGTGTTTGCTTACCAACATATTTTATCTAGGAACTTTAATCACACCGCGTGACCCAGGAACAACACAATTACATTATGTAAATGATAAATTATATGATATATTAAACAGATAAGTGATGTATCAATGTGTCCACTCCTGTCTGTTTGAAAAGTATGGATAAGTTTACGGTGACCTGGAACATTCACGTTATTGACCTTTGACCTCATTTTGTCGTATAACAACAACAATGCTATTCCGTCACCCACAGAAGGAATCAGAGAATACATCAAAATATTGTCGGAAATTCTGGGATATTGGGAATGCTAATTAATCAACTAAACTTCATTCTATTTGTTTATCTAACGCATTTCAGCGCATAACTGCACTCTAGGAAACAAACCTGTGTTTTCATCTATCTACTTTCTGACAAGATAGAAGTTTGACAGTAAGTATATTTAAACTAGTACTAACTGATACGGGGAAAATCGATGTTGTTCGTGCGTGCTGAAACAAATGCATGTCAAATCCTGTAATGGAATGTAGCGTGTCTAAGTTCCATGTAATGTGTTGATACATCACAGAGGGATAAAAACGGAACTAGAAACGATCTATACATCACACAGAGATACATATACAGGCACATATATCAAGAAATTAAGGAAGCGACAAATATATACTTTAAAGCTGATAAAAATATCTGAGAGCGAAAGCGAAAACTGCATTCACCATTACCAGCGAGGCATGTTAGAAAACTGAAATTCAAACTGTTACAAGGTGTAGAAAGGTATAGTGTATGGACCAGTGACACGTGGGTGTGGAGAGGTATAGTGTATGATCCAGTGACACGTGGGTGTGTAGAGGTATAGTGTATGGATCAGTGACACGTGGGTGTGGAGAGGTATAGTGTATGATCCAGTGACAAGTGGGTGTGTAGAGGTATAGTGTATGGACCAGTGACACGTGGGTGTGGAGAGGTATAGTGTATGGACCAGTGACACGTGGGTATGGAGAGGTATAGTGTATGGACCAGTCACACGTGGGTATGGAGAGGTATAGTGTATGGACCAGTCACACGTGGGCGTGAAGAGGTATAGTGTATGGACCAGTGACACGTGGGTGTGGAGAGGTATAGTGTATGATCGAGTGACACGTGGGTGTGGAGAGGTATATAGTGTATGGACCAGTGACACGTGGGTGTGGAGAGGTATAGTGTATGGATCAGTGACACGTGGATATGGAGAGGTATAATGTATGATCCAGTGACACGTCACGTGGGTGTGTAGAGGTATAGTGTATGGACCAGTGACACGTGGGTGTGTAGAGGTATAGTGTATTGATCAGTGACACGTGGGTGTGGAGAGGTATAGTGTATGGACCAGTGACACGTGGGTGTGTAGAGGTATAGTGTATGAGGTATAGTATAGTGTATGGACCAGTGACACGTGGGTGTGGAGAGGTATAGTGTATGGACCAGTGACACGTGGGTGTGGAGAGGTATAGTGTATGGACCAGTGACACGTGGGTGTGGAGAGGTATAGTGTATGTACCAGTGAGTGTGTGTAGGGAGAGTTTATGGCCAGTGACACGTGGGTGTGGAGAGGTATAGTGTATGGACCAGTGACACGTGGGTATGGAGAGGTATAGTGTATGGACCAGTGACACGTGGGTGTGGACAGGTATAGTGTATGCACCAGTGACACGTGGTTGTGGAGAGGTATAGTGTATGGACCAGTGACACGTGGGTATGATCCAGTGACACGTGGGATGGAGAGGTATAGTGTATGGATCCAGTGACACGTGGGTGTGACACGTGGGTGTGGAGAGGTATAGTGTATGGATCAGTGACACGTGGGTGTGTAGAGGTATAGTGTATGGATCAGTGACACGTGGGTGTGTAGAGGTATAGTGTATGGACCAGTGACACGTGGGTGTGTAGAGGTATAGTGTATGGATCAGTGACACGTGGGTGTGGAGAGGTATAGTGTATGGACCAGTGACACGTGGGTGTGGAGAGGTCTTTTGTATGTGCGAGTGTCCCTTGGGTGTGTTGAGGTCTATACTGTATGTACCAGTGACAAGTGGGTGTGGAGAGGTATAGTGTATGGACCAGTGACACGTGGGTGTGTAGAGGTATAGTGTATGGATCAGTGACACGTGGGTGTGTAGAGGTATAGTGTATGGATCAGTGACACGTGGGTGTGTAGAGGTATAGTGTATGGACCAGTGACACGTGGGTGTGTAGAGGTATAGTGTATGATCAGTGACACGTGGGTGTGTAGAGGTATAGTGTATGGATCAGTGGGTGTGTACACACGTGGGTGTGTAGAGGTATAGTGTATGATCCAGTGACACGTGGGTGTGGAGAGGTATAGTGTATGGACCAGTGACACGTGGGTGTGGAGAGGTATAGTGTATGGACCAGTGACACGTGGGTGTGGAGAGGTATAGTGTATGGACCAGTGACACGTGGGTGTGGAGAGGTATAGTGTATGGACCAGTGACACGTGGGTGTGGAGAGGTATAGTGTATGATCCAGTGACACGTGGGTATGGAGAGGTATAGTGTATGATCCAGTGACACGTGGGAGTGGAGAGGTATAGTGTATGATCCAGTGACACGTGGGTATGGAGAGGTATAGTGTATGATCCAGTGACACGTGGGAGTGGAGAGGTATAGTGTATGATCCAGTGACACGTGGGTATGGAGAGGTATAATGTATGATCCAGTGACACGTGGGTGTGGAAAGGTATAGTGTATGATCCAGTGACACGTGGTTGTGGAGAGGTATAGTGTATGGACCAGTGACACGTGGGTGTGGAGAGGTATAGTGTATGGACCAGTGACACGTGGGTGTGGAGAGGTATAGTGTATGGACCAGTGACACGTGGGTGTGGAGAGGTATAGTGTATGGACCAGTGACACGTGGGTCTGGAGAGGTATAGTGTATGGACCAGTAACACGTGGGCGTGGAGAGGTATAGTGTATGGACCAGTAACACGTGGGTGTGTAGAGGTATAGTGTATGATCCAGTGACACGTGGGTATGGAGAGGTATAGTGTATGATCCAGTGACACGTGGGAGTGGAGAGGTATAGTGTATGGACCAGTGACACGTGGGCGTGGAGAGGTATAGTGTATTGACCAGTGACACGTGGGTGTGTAGAGGTATAGTGTATGGATCAGTGACACGTGGGTGTGTAGAGGTATAGTGTATGGACCAGTGACACGTGGGTGTGTAGAGGTATAGTGTATTGATCAGTGACACGTGGGTGTGGAGAGGTATAGTGTATGGACCAGTGACACGTGGGTGTGGAGAGGTATAGTGTATGGACCAGTGACACGTGGGTGTGGAGAGGTATAGTGTATGGACCAGTGACACGTGGGTGTGTAGAGGTATAGTGTATGATCGAGTGACACGTGGGTGTGGAGAGGTATATAGTGTATGGACCAGTGACACGTGGGTGTGGAGAGGTATAGTGTATGGATCAGTGACACGTGGATGTGGAGAGGTATAATGTATGATCCAGTGACACGTGGGTGTGGAAAGGTATAGTGTATGATCCAGTGACACGTGGTTGTGGAGAGGTATAGTGTATGATCCAGTGACACGTAGGTATGGAGAGGTATAGTGTATGATCCAGTGACACGTGGGAGTGGAGAGGTATAGTGTATGGACCAGTGACACGTGGGCGTGGAGAGGTATAGTGTATGGACCAGTGACACGTGGGTGTGTAGAGGTATAGTGTATGGACCAGTGACACGTGGGAGTGGAGAGGTATAGTGAATGGACCAGTGACACGTGGGAGTGGAGAGGTATAGTGTATGGACCAGTGACACGTGGGTGTGGAGAGGTATAGTGTATGGACCAGTGACACGTGGGTGTGGAGAGGTATAGTGTATGGACCAGTGACACGTGGGTGTGTAGAGGTATAGTGTATGGACCAGTGACACGTGGGCGTGGAGAGGTATAGTGCATGGACCAGTGACACGTGGGTGTGGAGAGGTATAGTGTATGGACCAGTGACACGTGGGCGTGGAGAGGTATAGTGTATGGACCAGTGACACGTGGGTGTGGAAAGGTATAGTGTATGGACCAGTGACACGTGGGTGTGGAGAGGTATAGTGTATGGACCAGTGACATGTGAGTTTGGAGGGGTACAGTTTATGATGAAGTGTGACACGTGGATGTGGAGAGTGACAGTGCAGGTTTAAGTGTGACACGTGGGTGTGAAGGGGTACAGTATATGATGCAGTGTGACACGTGGGTGTGGCGGGTACAGTATACGATGAAGTGTGACACGTGGGTGTGGCGGGTACAGTATATGATGAAATGTGACACGTGGGTGTGGAGAGGGACAGTGCATGATGAAGTGTGACACGTGGGTGTGGAGAGGGACAATGCAGGTTGAGGTGTGACACGTAGGTGTGGAGAGGGACAGTGCAGGTTGAAGTGTGACACGTGGATGTGGAGAGGGACAGTTTATGATGAAGTGTGACACGTGGGTGTGGAGAGGGACAATGCATGATGAAGTGTGACACGTGGGTGTGGAGAGGGACAATGCAGGTTGAGGTGTGACACGTGGGTGTGGAGAGGGACAGTGCAGGTTGAAGTGTGACACGTGGATGTGGAGAGGGACAGTTTATGTTGAAGTGTGACACGTGGATGTGGAGAGTGACAGTGCAGGTTTAAGTGTGATACGTGGGTGTGGAGGGGTACAGTATATGATGAAGTGTGACACGTGTGTGTGGCGGGTACAGTATACGATGAAGTGTGACACGTGGGTGTGGCGGGTACAGTATATGATGAAGTGTGACACGTGGTTGTGGAGAGGGACAGTGCATGATGAAGTGTGACACGTGGGTGTGGAGAGGGACAATGCAGGTTGAGGTGTGACACGTGGGTGTGGAGAGGGACAGTGGAGGTTGAAGTGTGACACGTGGATGTGGAGAGGGACAGTTTATGTTGAAGTGTGACACGTTGATGTGGAGGGTACAGTATATGATGAAGTGTGACACGTGGATGTGGAGAGGGACAGTTTATGTTGAAGTGTGACACGTTGATGTGGAGGGTACAGTATATAATGAAGTGTGACACGTGGATGTGGAGAGGGACAGTGCATGATGAAGTGTGACACGTGGGTGTGGAGAGGGACAGTGTATTTTGAAGTGTGACACGTGGGTGTGGCGGGTACAGTATATGAACCACCAGCAGTTAACATATGTTGATTGTCAGTGTTTACTTCATATTACCATGAATAAGTTAGGAGTAATTACTACTGAAATTCATATCTACATCTTCATTCTTGTATGAAGAAAACATATTCATTGATATTTCATGATTATACTCACAAGATTAAAACATTTACATGACAAAGGGCGAGAAAGCATGACGTAAATCCATTGTGTTACTTGACGTCATTTACTTTCATTGACAGTTTGGTCTAAGGAAAAGTAGTTACTGCCATAATCAGCATCTTTGATAAATTCCATGTGAAGCTTTTCCAGGCTACTCATTTGATAAATCGTGGCTCAATTAGGGCTTAGGCATTTGCTTCAGTTTGATAAAATTCTACGTCTTATGACATAATACATACATATTATTGAATGAAATAATAGAGCAAAGCCAGAACGAACAATTGTATGACGTCACGGCAAAATGCAATGACGTCATGTTAATAATACTTTAGACAGAAGAAGAAAAAAATTTGACTTGTTGGAAACGAGATAAGCCGCGTGTTCATCTCAAAAACAAAACCTGGTGTTTGCATTCGGATATTTTACAGGAAGGGAAAGACAGATTTTTCTAAGTGTAAAAAAGAATGACTGTACAGGTGAAATAACAGAAGGGCATTACACTGCCGCGACAAACGTGAGAAATGTTTTACAGTCCCAATGAATCAGTCTTCCTAAATCAGTGAAGCAAAGCGAATGTAACTAGCGCTACTATCACTATATATACACAGTCATCAGTACACAGTGAGTAGAAGCACCAACACCAACTACCACCAAAAGCAGTGTGTAAAGAGGCGAGAAGAATTTGCAAAAAGTATACAAGGAATCATAAACTGTGACATCATTTTCACTTACCGACAGATGAACTGTTTACTTCGTCTGTGATAACAACATAATAACAGGAATTAATACTACTAAACATGTCGTGTATTGTCAGGACATATAAGAATAATATTCCTACACACAACTCTGTATTACATATCTTTCTTTTCTTCACTCGTTTGTTTAGGTAAACAAGAGATTCTTAAGAGATCTTGGCGTCGTATGAAGCTACATAGATTCTATTTAAGTTTGATCTACTTATTTCCACTTGTTTCAATCATAACTACTGCTGTGTTTGAAATGATTTTCCGATTGGGTTGTAGTAATGTGTTAATTAAGTGTCGTAAACAGCCGAGAATTTTAACATGATAACCGAGGCCAATCATCATTTTTCCTGTTATAAAAACTCTCAAAATGTCAAAATGAAAGATGACAGCTAGACGTAATTAGGAAACATTCTAAACATACAAAGTTTCTATGATAATTTTTACTTCTCCAGTTCCACTATAATTTTAACTTCTCCAGTTTCTAAGATAATTTTAACTTCTCCAGTTTCTAAGATAATTTTATCTTATCCAGTTCCAATATAATTTTAACTTCTCCAGTTTCTAAGATAATTTTATCTTATCCAGTTCCAATATAATTTTAACTTCTCCAGTTTCTAAGATAATTTTATCTTCTCCAGTTCCAATATAATTTAAACTTCTCGTTTCTAAGATAATTTTAACTTCTCCAGTTTCTAAGATAATTTTAACTTTTTCAGTTTCTACAATAATTTGTCCTGTGATGCTAAGGGCCTAAATTTCGAACCCTGTGAGGTGATTAAGGAAAATCCAATGTGAAAGAAAGAAAAATCAAAATCAGGTCGTGGAGGTACACACATGTAACGTAGACTATTTCACAATCATTGATTTGGGCGACTCATTATTAAAATCGACCGTAGGCTACATGTGATTTGTTTCTTCATAATAAGAGCAGACATACAGCTTCAGCACACGCCAATATGTTCGTGACATGGTTTAGGTAAAAGTCAGGGAAACCATAATCAATACATAAACAACAGTACTACTCCGCGGTAGACACCGAAATACCGACCGGGCATTACATTACAACTTTTATGGAAAATATTACATCGAACATAAATTCAAATAACAAGAAAAGACTAACATGGAAACATAATCCAAACTCAAATTCCTTAAAACAAGGGCAAAGTACGAATAACAAAAAAAAACATGAAACCCCCGAAAAAGCACAAGCAGAATAAGACCAGGTGTTCCGGAAGAGTAAGCGTCTTCTGCTTCGACGACGACTCGCGCCATATAAACCTTGGTCAATCCAAGTAAGTAATGTCACGTTCTCAACTGAAAACAAGGTATAAAACAACGGCACCAATAGGCAAACTAATTATAACCACAGTTTGCTGAAATTAATAATTTAAAATACAAGAGTTGACATAAAATTGATATTTACCTTTCCTGCTCTTAACGGGTTTCGCGGGAACTGGCGGTTTAATGGACGGCTTGAGCTTCTCCTGCTCCACAGGTGGTGCTACAGGCGCCGACTTTGTGGAAGAACTTTTCTGTTTCTTAAAATGTGAGAAAAATCCCTTCTTCGTCGGCGTAGTTGGCTTTTCTTGGTTGGATTCCTTTTTAGACAAAGATGCTGGCTTTTCTGAAGGAACCGGTTTAATATTTGTAACCTCAGGTTCACTAATTCTTACCCGCCCATTTTTCACTCTGGTTTCTTCTTCCCTACCATTTGTGGTACCATTCGTTGGCGGCTGGTCCGCTTGTGTCACCTTGAGTATTGGCGGTGGAGCTGATGACGTCACTGGTGACGTAGCAGGTCCCTCTGGAACATCGGGTGACGGAAGAGGAGATGCTTTATCAGATTTTGTACTAGAGGATTTTTTAACAGGGGATGCTTTTTTACCTGTTTCAAACATGAGTCTTAGTTGTGAGAAAGGCACGACCGGTATCGGCATGAGTTCTTTAGATTTATCTTTGTTTCTTAATTTGTCACTAGGTAACCGGAAATTCATGGGAGGTAATGGGGATTTTTCTGGCGTAACGGGCAGCTTAGGCGCGCGGAGAAACCTATGTGCACTAGAGGGTGTTACTCTGGTCTTTATTACGACAGCACCGGAGGTGGGACTAATAGAGGGGCAAGGACATGACGTCGTGGACATTGCATATCCTATTGAGTCAAGAGTTGACGTTGAATCACGACGTTCAGATAAAAGACTGTAAGTGCTTCCACTCCGCGAGACGCTAGATTTTTTATACCAATCTGGGACATTCAGTTTCTGAAGAGATTTAGCCACACGAAGTTCGTGTATGGACGGCACCCTTTTGAGGCTCCCGTCTCCCTCAACTTCCTCGTCAATGTTCGTTTCCAATGCCATTAGACTTTTGGACTTTGGCATATTTCGGTCGGCGAAACGACCCTTCCTTGCCTTTTGTTCTTCCAGCTGTCTTGACGTCATCATATCACTCATACTTGCCGTTCTTTGTAAAGGTATGTGCTGAAAGCCAAACATGTCAACGTCAGTTTCACGAAGAAAGAATGTTTCAAACGTTTCACCAGAATCTATATCAGTTTCCACTAATGATGAGACAGAACCATAGCTAAGTAGGGGTTCGTGTAACTGTTCTATTGATCGTGTTGTATCCACTAGTTCTTTGTGTTTATGAGCTGAAAAAATACAGTCTTTATGTAGTTTATCTAGTGGAGGTTTCTCGAAAGAATCGTCACTATTGTACCGCGAGGAATACAAACCGCCGGCGGTATCTACACGCTCAAAGCTTAGAATGCGCCGAGTTTTTTGAGCTGGTGTTGTCTCCCGACGCGTATAAATACGTTGTCTAGTCGGAGTCTTAGACACAGACGACTTGTAGTGGTCGAACTGCGCGCTCATGTTGTCAGTCAGGTTATCAGCACTGAGAAAGCGATGTCGAGAGGATATGATCTTTTGGCGTATAAATGGTAATGGTTTTTGCTCGGGCGTACGCACGATAGGTGGACTAGGATTTATCACAATAGGCTCAGTGAGCACTGATTGGTAATGTTCAGGTGTGCGCATGCGCGTACGTTCTTGCTGTTTGTTGATTTTTGCTTTAATTCCCGTTAGTCCAGAAGGATTAACAACCGACGTCCGAACGACCCATCCAAATCTGGGCACAACTGCAATGTCTTTGAATTCGTTGGAGGTATTAGAATCTGCTGCTTTTTCTGGTTCTCTTGCAGTTTCCGTTGGAGACAGCTCACGTTCGCCTTCCGGTTTGAGTTTAGTAGGATGATTCACTGATTTGGTGTACTGTTCTATGCACGGGATTATCGCGCTCTCGAGGACATCTATTGTACTGGAGTTCATCACGTCTGATCTCACAGAGTCATCAACAGTTGTCTCGCGTTCACTATTATTTGGAACCGGCAGTGACCTAGACATGACCTCAACGGCCGTTCGAGGTAGGTTTACCTCAGACGCCTTCGAAGTTATGTCATCTACGTCAGTCCCATCGTCGTGATTTACTGGAGGCTGTTTTGAGGCTGTTCTTGGTAATGTCTCGGAGTCTGTACGCAAACTATCATAATTACGTGATAAAGGAAAGTCGTCTAGGTCTGTTTCCCTTGAACGCGACACATCCCCAATGACAGTTTCCCTTGAACGCGACACACCCCCAATGACAGTTTCCCTTGACGATACATTATCATTAGTACAACGATGTGGCGATGAAACCTCATCGATAGCAGTCTCTTTCTGATGATTTGATTGTGGTTTATTGTCGACGACAGCCAACTCTCGATGGTTTGAAAGTGATATATCGTCGATTATCGTCTCCTTGGGACGAGTGGATGATAACATATCATCGATAATAGTCTCTTTATGAAGCTTTGACGGTGATATATCGTCGATTATCGTCTCCTTGGGACGAGTGGATGATAACATATCATCGATAACAGTCTCTTTATGAAGCTTTGACGGTGATATATCGTCGATTATCGTCTCCTTGGGACGAGTGGATGATAACATATCATCGATAACAGTCTCTTTATGAAGCTTTGACGGTGATATATCATCTATTATCGTCTCCTTAGGACGAGTAGATGATAACATATCATCGATAACAGTCTCTTTATGAAGCTTTGACGGTGATATATCGTCGATTATCGTCTCCTTGGGACGAGTGGATGATAACATATCATCGATAATAGTCTCTTTATGAAGCTTTGACGGTGATATATCATCGATTATCGTCTCCTTGGGACGAGTGGATGATAACATATCATCGATAACAGTCTCCTTGGGACGAGTGGATGATAACATATCATCGATAACAGTCTCTTTATGACGATTTGACCTTGGTATATCATCGATCATCGTCTCTTTTGGACGACTTGATAGATCGTCGATAAATGTCTCTTTTTGACTGTTGAGCGACAACACATCGCCATTCTCAGTCTCCTTTTGGTAACAGTGTAGTGAAATATCATCAGTTCCCCGTCTTGTATTACTGATTTCATTGTTTTGTTGTTGATCTGGCGTCCGATTTTCCTGGTCATGTTCCGTTAGGTCGATATCCAAATCACTCTCACTAATGAACAGCTCGACATTAGAGACATCTTCACAGCTTTCACTAGCATTCTGAGATTTTATCCCTTGAGAATTGGCTTTTGTTTGTATGCTGAACTGTCCGTTATCAGGAGACAATCCAATCTGATTGGGTGAAAAACTATTGCACTGTATTCCAGAGTCTTGTTCCTCATCAATTTGCAACGCTTCGTTCAAACTTTCTCGCGAACTTTGTTCTTTCACATATTCTTGCAGACTACGGATGTGTACATCACCACTTCCCGTCATATCAGCGGAGCTGAGGTCAGAATGTGAATCACTCGTGCGATCATTATCCGACGTGTCGCGCGTATTCTCTAAACTCGTGCTCATATCCCTGAACTGCTCGAGTTGGTTATTTTCAAACAATAATTCATTTTCTGAGCCTTTGTTGAAATGAGTATTGCCTTCTAGATCTGTTATCAAATTACCTGATCTACTACACACCGACAGATCAATAGCAACTGGTGCAGAATCTGTATTCGATAAATCCTCCTCGGAAACATGTCGTCTGTTTCCATGTTCACCGTTCAAACCATTCATGACACATGGCACATCCGTTTCCACATCTCCGTTTGGAATATTTCTATCGGTCACGTGCTCATTCGGAGCAGTTTCGTCTTGCTCCAGTATCGTGTTGTGTGAGCAAGTTTCCGGTGTGTCCGGAGACCTGTCCTCTGTAAAATACCTCACATGATGATCCGTGAACACCTCTTCGGTCTTCGTAAAAACCACAGACTTACCATCCTCGCCTGTCTGGACGTCATAACCATCGGCAGACGCGTTCAGACCGAGCGCGTCTAGGTTAGTTACTGTGTCCAGTTTCCGAAGATGACTTTGATCGCCCATCACAAGAAAGAAAGAATCCTCGTCAGAATCTGGATGGAACTCGGCAAAATCGTCATCATACGGATTATACTCGCGCGGTTCTACGTCATCATCAGAACTGTTGACATAGTCTTGTATATTTGTTGAAATGTCTTGAAAACGTGGCACAGTATCTGAATTATCATCTGGACCTGACGAACCAGTAACATCATCTCCCTCGTCATCGACATTTTGATAATTGATAACACTAACACTACACCTCTCAGGGATGTCGGTGGTGACACTCTCCAGTTGCCTAACACACTCTGGTTCCATCGGAGTTATTTTGACAGTTGCATTGGTCTCGATATCCTCATTTCCCCAAACATTATCCTCCCCCTCCTCGGGTATGCTGGCAAGTTGTGACAAAGCGAACATTTCGTCGTCAGAAAAAGTGTTATCCCGACCGTCCTTTTCTGAAGTATCACTGTTGTCCCGGTCTGTTTCTCCGTCTGTAACAGGTGCTTGTGTGTTGCCTGAAGTTAGTGTCGGGTTCGGGGGTTTGTCTACTTCACCTGGATGGGATAGTATTTCATCATTTTTTGCTTTAATATCCGTAATAAAATCACTATAAGTGAATTCTGATGTTGTTTGTGTATTGTTCCCGTCTGTTAAGTCTATATCAATGCCGTCTCCCTTCAAACCCACAGTCGGCTCACAATTGTTATTTGTCTCGATATCTACCCATTCTGACTCCACCAACTGGGGTATGTGTATCACGGAATCACTTTTCTCAACACCCTTTTCATCTCCGTCAATACATTCCTCGGAATTTGAATCTGATGCGTTGTCCTCCTCGTCACTGAAGTTCCTTAATGAATGTTGATGTTGATAACCACGTGTCTCCCCGCGAGCTCCAGATCCAGTACGATCCCTCGCCCTGTTTTGATTGATACTGTCGTCTTCATCGTCCTCAACATCTATACTAACGACAGTTACAACAGAAGCACTACTACAGGACTCGTCAGATATATAGCCATCAAATACATCCTCCACCGCACACGTTCGGACAGGCGATTCGGGAATGCTACTACTGTTGTCTGTTGGTGGTTTAAAATCTAAGTCAGTACTGTAATATTTATTACTGTCGGGCGTTGGAATGTGGCTTTCATTCATACAATGTTCTGTGTCACCAAACCGTGACCTCTCCCCTTCAATCACATTAACAATAGCGGGCCCCGAGCCTTCATGCCGAGATGTAAACAAAGCCACGTGGTCCGAGTCGGTGTCGTCTGCTACAGGTACGACAGGTATATCCGCAGGAGATGATGGGTCACGCCTGTTCGACTCCGCGTTTGTGACACATACAGGCGAGTCTACATCCGTTCCTGTTTCGACAGTCCCTGTCCGAATCTTATCTTTATCATCACAGTTAATACTTGTATTGCCCTCGCCTGCCTTACCACGTGGAATATCACATTGAAATGTTTGGTCATACGAAACTTGTTCGATAAATGGATCTATATTGTTTCTCTTACCTTCATCGTCTTTTTCATCAAACGTTTCATCCTCACTTGTACACATATCATCTGAGTCTTCCTCTATAATGGGTTCCAGAGAATTAGAATAATTAGCCTCCTCGTCAGAATCAATGATAGGGGGCTCGTAGTCTCCCTCCTCACTATCACTGCTTTCGCTGTCACTACTTTTGTCATCCACCATATTAGTGTATCCATCATTATCAACTATACTACGATACTCCCGGTTCACGTACATGTCATCCTCGCCCTCGGACACCGGGGCGGGTCCCCCTCCCTCAGGGTCACTACTATCCGAGCCCGCTGTATAACTTTGGTCCGAGGATTCAGACTTAGTTCTGACCTGTGATGTCATGAAGTCTCTTGGTTTTCTCCTTGTATTTATATTCCAGTACGTATCCTCCTCCCAGTTACTGAATCCCCATGCAGATTGGTCCTCCTCCTCCTCCTCTGGGTCATTCACCTCTTCCCCACGGGGGTCAGCCGACTGTGTTGTCCGACTGTCATCGTCCATCGGAGGCCTACTTTGTACGGGTGTTCTGGAAGTTAACGTTGAAGAATGCACCTGACTTTCGTGTTTACATTCCATTACATCGTGACCCGGGGTCAGATGTGGTTTTTGATGACTGACAGGTATGGGTTCGTCATGGGGTCCCTGATGTCTATTACCGTGGCTGTCATCTTGCTGTTCCGGGTCACCGGACGGGTCACCGCCCGCTGCACACTGCATAGCAAGCATTTGTTGACGAATCTGATATGCCGTGTTTACATCGCCGTTTTCCTCGGCGTTTTCAACTAAAAGTCTCCATGAAAACATGATGGTAATAATAGTAGCTATAGCGGCTGTGAGGAACCTTTCGAAGGCCCCATCAGCCCCCACCGTGGTCCCCGTACCGGTGTTGGTAGCCCAGTTTTCCATGTTGTTTTCTCCTATCTGTCAAATGGACACACTTCACTGAGCTCCTGACTGTAATTTGTACCTATCGGCACAACACAGGTAGACCCTATGTATGTACAACGTGGTCCACCATTTATTGGTGTCCATCAGCATGGCTGCTGGTTATCGACTCTCTCCGGCCACAGATACACTGTCCAGTGAAGTTACTTCATTTCCATGCGGGTACATAGGTGCACCACCCGCTCACATACCAACCTTCCACCTTAAAACATCTCACACATTTTGTGAATGTACCACATCGACGAATGTTTAGAATAGATTGAGATTCCTTCTGCTGTTATCCAATGAAGCGCCGGCGCTGTGTCACATGACACTAGGTCCGGATCGATACTACAGCGTTATTAGCGATTTGACACATACGAGCTGTGGGATGACAGCTCGCGACACTGACTTGTTTTAACACACACTAATTATCCGCTTGTTTATCTGAAGATTAATGTTCAGCGGTGATAATCCTGCTGTTGGGGACATGTCGAAGGACACCGAATTGTCCTTGTGTGTTGAGGTGCTCGCGGGAGCGATGTAAACAGTGGACGAAGCGATAAGCCTTAACTTGTGTGAACATAAATACCGACACGCACACATGTGTATTGTTGGACAATGTCTACCGATATTTTTCTTTATAATTAATGGTGACGTAATTTTTAATTCCACGAGTCCAGTTTTGTTCAAGGTCATATGTAACTGTGTTTTGTCTGTATACAGGTGTAACGACAGTGTGTTTAAATGTAAGTGTACCTGTAAAAGGTGTTGTGGGCATGTGAACAACATTGTGGAAACTGATATAAACACACGTGTTATTATCATGGTAATATAATAATGTACAGACATGCAAACGAAACATACAATGGATACTTCTAATTATAGGCACGGTTTACTGTGTAATGTTGACATGAATACGTGATCAATTTCAGTGTTTTGTAGGACGATACACATACAATGAATCGTTTACAGCTAGGTTTGACCAGTCTGTACACTCCGCCCCATCAGTACACTAATGAGACACCTTTCACCAGTTTTGAACTTCTAGAGTAGAGGATCGAGGATCTTAATCAACTCGTGCGACATAAGCTTTAGCAAAGACTCGTGGGGTTCAAATAATAGATAGAGACTGGTGTGATTCAAATAATAGATATAGACTGGTGTGGTTCAAATAATAGATATAGACTGGTGTGGTTCACATAACAGATAGAGACTGGTGTGGTTCAAATAATAGATATAGACTGGTGTGGTTCAAATAACAGAGACTGGTGTGGTTCAAATAATAGATATAGACTGGTGTGGTTCAAATAATAGATATAGACTGGTGTGGTTCACATAACAGATAGAGACTGGTGTGGTTCAAATAATAGATATAGACTGGTGTGGTTCAAATAACAGATAGAGACTGGTGTGGTTCAAATAATAGATATAGACTGGTGTGGTTCAAATAACAGATATAGACTGGTGTGGTTCAAATAATAGATAGAGACTGGTGTGGTTCAAATAATAGATAGAAATAAGTAGTGTGGTTCAAATTTCAGACAAACACTAATTATTGAACCAGTCAGTAGCCTCTCGAAATCAGACACGTGATATACCTAAAAAGTTCATCTATTTCTGTTATGACAAATGATAGGTCGTGTTAGTTATCCCACGTGGTTTTCTATAAAAAAAACTTATCGAATTATTTAAATCAGTAGGTTGTACCTGTACCTCACGTGCGTTACAACTCATCTGTAGGACAAATGTCACGTGATATGTATAAAAGTTTAGTTATGGTCGTACTTGCGATAATGTTCTGGATGGATAAACCACAGACTTCGACATAGATATATATATCTGTCACGTGGGACACCAAACGCGAACTTGCTCATATTGGCCGGACATAAGAAAACGATGGACGGTATCCCGAATTTTCTCATGTTTTGTTTTTTGAAATCATGACCTCAGGTTCTGTCACTGTTATCTTTTTTACGTAAATGCGTAACTACGACAGAAATTATTTAATAAACAGTGACCTTACAAAAACGTGAGAAAGTCTCGAAAATCAATCCGGTGTCTCGTGTATGCGCATTTGTAAAAGGACAGATTTTCTCTACCCAATATTGATAGTGGGCCACATAAAAGCTTTACTGATCATGCAGATCATTCTATTATGGACATATGGCCATGTGATTTTGATTGATAAGCTTTACCCCTAGGTAGAATAACCATATGTTATCGGCGAGGTCCCCCGGCTCTGTTATATAACTAAACATATTATCTCTTTGTACCCAAGACTGATACACGAGGTTCACACCTTAAAGCTCTTTAAAAGAAAAGCGTTTATATTTCATCACTTATTAAACAACTATAGGCAGAGTATGTTGTATTGATCGTCTACACAAAATCAAATTTGACTTCGTCTCATTCACCGACATTTCATAAAAGAATTCTTTATTCAAAAAATATAAGCGTAACTCTGTCACTTCTCGGATTGTCAGGAAGTCACGCACTACAACCGTTTGTGTGTAGTAGTAAAATGTTCATGTGTCTGTACGTTCTCGTGTTCCAGTCTCCTTATTTGTTATAATTCGTGCTAATAACTTCCTAAATCATAAATAAAGCATGACAGACCTTTATTACAAACTGGATGTGTTTACTACTCTTTCGGGGACGTTTCAGGGTTTTACTGCATTTTTGTAGCGATATATAGCGTTGTATGTGGACAGTTTAGAGGTAGAAGGTTCACGTACACAATGCCTGAATGACCGATGGTTTTGTCACGTGTTATCACAACGTCACCATAGTGACTTTAATTTGACAGAAATCTTTTATTTATTTCAATGCCTTCCGGCTTAGATTCGATCCCATCACCTCTGCTATACTAGTCTCGGTATTGCGTCTACTTGGGTTACATGCTAATCACACCTGACAATTATGGGTGTAGCTAAAGAGGTTTGAATACGGACTTCAAATCTTAACTGATCATACGGGAGCAAAATATAATCATAACTGTTTGTTCAATTTACTTAGAATCTGTTCATTCTTATAAAGGGTGTATCATTTGATTAGTTGTGTGAAATTAAACTCTGGATAACCGATGCCAACTGGGTGCAGTTCACTTCCGGAAGTGTCGATATAGATTAGATATAATTTTATCGTTTAGGTGAGTTCTTGGGGTGCGTTTCGGGTCTCTAAGACCTTGACGTCTTACCTGCGATACTGTTATAATTGGCTCCCTCTAGGGCATACCCTGAATCAGAGGTAACACGTCACTCGCCATACCTGTATTATAAACAAAAGCTATTTTTTAAAAAAGATAATAGGCAAAATTTGCAAAAATGTGTCAGTGCATATCCTTAGATATAGTAATGTAGTAACTACAATATACACAAGTCCAAATAAAGGTATCGCCCAATTTATTGTCCGTATGATAAGTAAACACTGGATTTAGTCATATTCCTCATAGTTTTAATTCAGAGAAATCCGTACTTTTATTTAAGAATCAACTTATCAAACAGATTGTGCTAACTTCTGGGCATAGTAAGTGGAGCTACAAGCTTGTGCTCTCTAAACTCAACGAAGACCAGGAATAGATACAATAGAGTTTACATTTCGTACATCTATCGTCTGTCCGGTGATTTTGAACTTGATTATGGTCAGTTTAACCGGATTGTAGCGTTGTGTAGTTTAGACGACTGTAAGAGAAAAGTCATTCTGTATTCCCAGTCACATCTACTACGTGAGGGAGAAAAATGTTACATGAATGTGTATACAACGATACAGTGAAAATGTTGATACTGTTACACTCCTAATACGTTGACGCTATCTTAAACGAGTGACCATCAATTTAGATAACAATAGTATAAGGTGGAACTATCTTTTTTCGGAAAGGTGCACTTTTTGGGGACGAAAAAAACCCCATAAAACCCGTCTTACCGAGTCTTAAGTTAAGTCATTTGGTCTATTTATTCATCGTCTCTATTATGACGTCATGTTATAAACAAGAATCACGTGATATCAGTTCGATACATGTTATATTAAAGAAGATTAATTTTGAAATTGTTTTTTCTTTATTTACATTTGCTTGCGAAAACAATAAAGATAGAATTTGTCGATATTTTGACCTCGAGTGATAGTCCTTTATGCGACTGACCGGAAACGGAAGTGCAATGTAGGTAGAAACATTTCATTACTACTATACAAACACAGTGTTCATAATTCTAAATTAGCTACACGTACACTTACATTAAAATAAAACTGATTAAAAGGGTTGCTTTGTTGTTTTCAGTGACTATTTGTTTTAGTGAAGTGATCTCCTGTGTAGTAACCAACATCCGGGAAATCTCTTCACAACGTTAGGAAATTATAAATCGGTGTTTTGATTAATATGTTCACGCGATATATCTGTTCACTATAAAATATTTTTGCTCATACACGAATTAAAGAAATATGGCATGCTACCTAGTTCTATGATTTAGGTTTTCGGTCTCGTACGATTTCCTTAAACTCCACGCGACATTTGGCACAAAGCAATGTAAGTTAGGAGATAAACTTTCTGTGCATATTATGAGTCACTAATTTAACTCAAATTTCAGGATGATATGATTTCGATATACAGACACAACTTTCAAATCACAATAGGGTTAAACTGAAACTGTCACCAGGATGGCTAACTAATATCCCCGCTCCCCAATCCACAATAGTTTCGGAGGGGTTGGCCCAACAAGATTCCTCCAAGAGGCCTTCATTTGGTCACCATGACAACCAAATGACAACTATTTTTACGAAATTGGTACCATTGCATTTGTCACCGCTCAGATACTCTCATTTCGACCAATCAGAAGCCTCCAATGTGCTTCAATGGTAACGGTTTTGGAAATTTTGATATGTTAAATTATAGCATTTAATCCAGATTAGATTAATTAATAAGAGAGCTAAGAGTTATGAACATTTCATAAAAAAATTGTGTACAGTAAAATTATTTCCATGGCAAC